TCGCTTTAATCATGTGCTGGTAAGGTTACTTTGGTTTCCCCACATGCCGCTTCCTAATACCCTGCTGACCATATAAGAGTTGTTTCCGTATCCGCGTCGAATCCATACGTTTCCATGACCGAGCCACCTCAGGTGTCTCAGCAAAGGTATACAGTCCACTGCATATATCTCACTTTGTCGCAACACTTCCGTGTCCGCAATTCTCTCGTAGCAACCGATGCACAAAATCCGTCGCAAACACTGCTGATGGAACGGTTCGAGATATCGCACATCTCACTGGTACATTGTCCACGTTTCACTGCTGTATAGCAGAACGGACAGCACCATGGATTTGTACAACACCAGCTTCGTGCCAATGGTAAGCTGATGGTTGTTCGACACTGAATACTCTAGCTTACCGAATGCTACCGCTATATTAGAGGCGCGGATACAAAACTCACTGTGAAGCTGCTAGTCAGCCGACATCACACTCCCAAGGTAGCAGAAGCGGGAGGTGGTTTCCAATACTTCAGCACCAATGCTGATTTTCGGCAATATTGAAGATTGCACCTCCGGTGAAGGCTGAAATAAACAGACAGTTTTGCTTGTGTTGATGGTGAGCCCAAATTTTGCCGCCGTCGAAGCCAGAGCACTAGTCATGTGCTGCAACTCATCCGCGCGGTGTGAAAACAACGCGCAGTCGTCAACAAACAGCAATCTACGAACAGTTTCCTCACAGACTAGAATTCTCGCCCCGAAACGACATATGTTCAGCAACGTACCATCAATACGGTGTTCCACACGAACACCGTTAACGCAAGCCGCATCAAACGCACATTGCATCATTGCATGAAGATACATATTAAACATAACAGGAGCTAAGACATAACCTTGCTTCACACAAGTGACAACTGCAAAGTTATCCGAGATCTCTCCACTCAGCTGCACCTTCTCTGCATAACACTGCGTAGACATTCAATTGAACTTACAAACTTACTCGGTCAACCAAACTTACCCAGCACCAGCCACATTGCCTTGCGGGTTACCGCATTTATTGCCTTAGAGAAATCAACAAAAAGCGAGTGCAACGGTTTGTGTCGTTCTCTGCACTTCTCTTGAGGCTAAAGAGCCGCAAACACCATATGGATAGGACTGCTACCTGAAAGGAATCCACACTGCTCTTGCGTCAACTTCGGCTGGTGGACGGGTGGTCTGTGCGTTTGGTTTTCAACCATAAGGTCACCGGTCCGAATCCGCGTAGAGTTTGGCGTCCTGGCGATATACTCTGCCCTTGCGCGACTGGTGGTGTTCGTGCGGTAGCGAAGCGCCGTAACGGCGTACAGCTGACACATGATTTATTTATGTTCACAACCTGACTGATGAGGCGGTTGAGCAAGATTCGGTCAGCCACCTTGCCCACATAACTCAGCAAGTTGATGCCACGAGCATTTGCACAAGATTTCTTGCTTCGTTTGCTCTTGTACGGTGGTAGCACAAGCGAATAATTCAACTCAGTAGGCACCTCCTCCTCAATCCGTACTCGTTGCAGTTAGGGGTGCAGCGCAGTCACCAATGCGATTCCGCCGTGTTTCCATACTTCAAGCTGGATCCCATCGACACCGGCACACTTGCGGGTACCGAAAATCCATGAGGAACAATTTCAAAATAGCGTGTATGGATGTCATGAGCAGCGAACAAATATTGTTGGTTATTTGGCTTTTTATTTTATTTAGTGTTTTTAACACACTGATTTCTTCTTTGTTCTCATTTTATTTGATATAGTTGTAATCAACTTGTTCAAACATTTTAATATCTAGTTCTCCCATTTATTCCGGTTTCGCGCTACATCACTTAGTGTCGAGCCATTGCAGTCCTCATCCTTGGATTTCTTACCATGAAAACGTACAGGCTCCATTGCTGAACAACCTTATCGTGGTGCCATCTGGGTGGTTCGGGATTAGCCCGTTCCAATGAATGGTTCAGCGGTAGTGTTCCAGTACGTGGTGGGTTTCTTTTCCTGGCAAGCGTTCTCTTTATAACAAGTCACATATGTCCGTTTGACAACACTGTAACGTGGCGCATGTGACTCGCCGTTGCATCGATCAGATTTTCACTCCGCCTGATTCTCGAGCTCCGCCATGTGTATCAAAAGCCAACGATTGTTGTGTTCCTGTATATCCTTGTCTCCTTCGATTCTGTCGACAGGGCTGCAATGTGGCACTGTCTGTTGTGGGATGGTATTCCCGGGAAGTTCGTTTCCATTCTGCGTGCTCTGTATAGTCTGACCTCAAGTAAGTTTAGTGCTTATGGCAAAGTTTCGCCTTCCTTTGTTGTCACCAGTGGGGTTCGGAGAGAATTGCTCTAATTTTTCATTCCTCTTAAACTTGGTCATTGAGGATGTCCTCCAAAATGTTCTAGAAGACTTGTGAAATGCTGATATTGAGCTCCTCCCAGGTAGTCGCGTGGTTGATTTTGAATACGCTGAAGATATCATATTGTTGGGTGACAGTCCGCAGACGGTCCCAATTGAACTTAACCGTCTGGCGATTGAAACGTCGAAGTATGGCATGCACTTTTCACCATCCAAGTGCAAAACACGTTTTCAAGACTTGTATTAGCCCCTACCTGCACTCATCATCAATGGGGAAACCTTAGAATTGGTACAGAATCTTGTCTACCTGGGAAGCTGCAGAACTGCCGGTGGGACTGTTTGAAACGAGATTTCGATGCATATCTCAACCGCTCGTCTCGCCTACTCCAGGCTGAGGCATTTATGACGCCGCCATGGCATCCGTCTCTCCATCAAAGGATGGGTTTATAGTGCCACTGTCCGCGCTGTACTGTTGTACCGTTGCGAGACTTGGTCCGCTCTTACCAATGACCTGGGTAGACTGTCTGTCTTCGAGATCCGTTGCTTGCAGTCACTTGTCCAGTCAATTGTCCGTGTGTTTTGGCTTAAATACGTAACCAACCCTGAAGTCAGACAGCGTGTCTTGGGTGGAGACAGTCACTTCATCTAGGCGCTTGTCTCGCTACGCCAAACACGCTGTCACGGACACGTACTACGTATGCCTGTTCAGCGTCTTCCGCGTCGTGCCTTGTTTGCGGTCGCTGGACAGGGCCGTAGGAGGCAATGTGTTGGACAGCCTACAAGGATGCTGAGCGCAGTTGGTTGGAAACCTCGGAAGTCATGGCTCCAAAGCGAACTCAGTGGTGGGCGTGTATCTACTTGTTGCAGTGCTTCCCCTTCCCTCCCCAATAAAAAGAACATCAAATAAACTCAAACACTGAGTGGACAAAATGGACAAAATGTGTTTGTTTTCTTCTTTCTTTTACTCTGACCCTGTCTTCCTATCCCGCCGTGTTCCTGATGTCAAAATATTTGTACGCAGAATGTGCTCATATATATATATATATATATATATATATATATATATATGTATATATATATCCTTATGCACGTCACCTAGAGGTGGGAAACACACCTACTGTGCCGCAATACATAAAGGAAAAGGAAGGTACAAACAACAGTTTCATGCCAGCTAAGCTACCAGCAACGGATAAGCATCGTTCCGGTAAGCTACCAACCTGCTACTAAGTAAAAAATATTATGTTTTACGCCACGAAATGAGATCGTAGACGGAGGGGAAGGCTAAAAGGGATGGGGAGGGATAAAGAAACTCACAACACGAACGCCATTGAGGTCGGCTCCTTGCCATGTCAGCAAGTGTATCCAGCCAAACGTGTTCATCGTCTTTCGGACCCCAGCCAGGGAGCCGAGACGCTCCAACCCGAGGCGAGCTCCGAAGTGAGGGCTTTCATTCCTCTTGACCAAGTCATCGCTTGGCCACCTCTCCTCTTCTTCCGTCCACATCCCCGGTGAGCAAACAACGCACGTCGAGGGAGTCGGTGGGCTGGCATGCGCAACACGTGGCCCAGCCATCGGAGCCTGGTGAGTGAAATGACGGTGCTGAGCGGTTCAGCTCCTTTTTCTGTGCCGTAAACAAGGCGTCAAACACGCTCGTTACTTAGGCGGTGTTCCCACCAGATGTGAGCCAAGTTACGAACGCACCAGTGGTCGAACGTAACTAGTCTCTTCGTGTCCGCTTATCATAGGGGGCCAGGTTTCGCAACCGTACAGTAGGGTCGAACATACCGCTGCATTGTGCACTCTACCCTTCAGAGCAAGAGTAATGTCGCACCGCCGCCTGATATATATATATATATATATATATATATATATATATATATATATATATATATATTATATATATATATATATATATATATATATATATATACTTAGTCGATGATTGCGTGACATGTCAGCGAGTTCATGGATAGGCGCCAAGTGGTTGGTTGACCCTTACGTGTTCTCTTCCAGTTCAATTCTGTGCGAGCAAATAAGGCGTGGCGTGGTAAGCGCTCTCATGACATAAGTTGAACTTGGTCAGTCTACCTCAATTGATGCATTTCGACAAAGCGATCAACCGGAATGCTCATGTTTCCCAAGACCTGACTCTGGACTTCATCGTTGAGAACCCGGTACTGCCACCACACGCGAGCACATTCTGAGAGTAGTACAGGTCTGAACAAATTTATTTTATCAAAAAAAATCCATGGTTTCCCCTCTGAACGACAGTAACTCTGCTGGTTTAGAACAACGTGACATGAACTTCCAAGTTGTTAAACAAGGTAGCTCTTAATTGGATTAGTCTTTTATGAAAAATATCTTGTTTTATATGTGCCTCATTTAGTTGCCAACCAATTTTCGTGTTCTCATTGTCGTACGCTTGGATTTTAGCTTCATTACAAGCATACATCTGGCATTTCGGTCAGTTAAGTAATTAATGAAGAGCATGATCAGCGTTTTAACGTACTGATGCGGTGAAAATTGCTGCTTTATTCCACACAAACCATTGATGCATTAAATGGAGCATTGCCTACATGTGATGCTCTGCTTTTATTCAAGAATCGCATCGGAAATATGCAGCTTTGCATTACTTTGCGATAGGACTTACTCTGTAATACATTCTACAAGGACAATAAGCAGTTCGTGCCAATTGTCTCTGCATATTCACGGCCGAGTTGATGTATTTCTCGTTTTGTAGAAAACTGAGCGGAAGTCTTCTACTCAGTGGTAGCTGACGGTGGTATTCCAACACTTGCTTCTGCTGCTGTGACAGGTTCCCAGACATATCTGGTTCAACTGATCGCAAGCTATCGTCCAAGTAGGAGCTGCATTCCCCGGTGGTATGTGGAAGCTTGGCACAGAACTCTCCCGTTTTGCTGCGACAAATGTCTGGGCAGTTTAGATGAGGGTCAATGTCACGCAAACAAAGCCCAACACTGGAAATAAAATTATGAAAGTCATCCGAAGTTAACTGACACACTTGGGTAAATACTTGTTATTATGTCATGTTTTCAGCAACGGTCGGTTATCTCATCTATTTCTACAAAGCGGTTACTATTTGGACCTCATGGGTATACCACTCTCGCTTAAACTTTGAATTTTATAATTTTTATTACTTTGAATTCCGAATTCCTACGATTAGAAGTTTACTGTTACATACCTGTAACTTATCACTAACCGGACACTACTAAGGGTAAATATACCATTTTTACTTTAGTTTGAACATCTTATAATTCACATGGGATATTTTGCAAAACTTCGAAAGTTTTACGAAACGAAATGGACACATCGTATTTTAAACAGAAACTCAGCAAGTTGCTTGCAACCAATGAAGAGCAGACGATGTCCAGACCACATCGCAGTCATGCAAATGTAACAGTATTGTTTAAGCAGTGAATGCCACTGCAAACCTTGTTGTGGCAGGGTATTCATATTAACCGTTGCCGTTGAGAATTCAATTTTTCCAATAGTCATTGTTTACTCATCAATTTCGTGTAAATCGTATTGCAAATTTCTTTATCTGCATCAGTAGTGACGACCACAATAGCGTATTCCACCAATTTCCTACAGACTTTTCACAATACCGCTTTTTGCTCGCAATTTTTTGAATATTTCCATAACGTCAGAAACACCTTCAAAGGAACTATGGAAAAGCAGTCGGGAAGAATGGCAAATCACAAATCTGGTTGGCAAGTCAGTCTAAGAGGTGGTTCAGTAAACCGGACGCAATTACCAATGATTCTTTCCAGCAATGTTTGAACATTACTAGGAAAAATCGTGGATCTTATCGCAATGTTGCATCGAATATTCAAATGCCGCCGCTTTGATGCTACAGAAAAGTTGGCTAGATTCTGATTTAGAAGATGAAATGATTCAACTTAATGACTATCGTTCCATCAGATCCGATTGACCAGGAATACCCCAGAATCGTGTAGGCTGCATACTTACTTACATCGACCAATGCGGGTGCAAACCGGCAACCTTGCTGTTCACGTACACACCACCCACTGTTAGCTGTCATTTGGTTGAATGCAACCCACGGTTTACGGTGTTAGTTCTGTTGTCAACGGAAACGTATACCTATCGCTTGACACGCCAGTGTCCCAACTGAAGAAATTTGCGGTTGAGTTATCCACGGTGTCACTACCGAAACTCGAACGCGCAGTCTGTGTGATTGCTGGAGATTTAAATAAATGTGATACAAATTTTATTCTCCCACTTGATCTGAAGAACATAGAGTCTTTTCCAACTAGACTAGAAAGAAAAATAGACCTTGTCTTCACAAATCAAACTCGATTATTTTCCAAACACAAATGCTCTCCACTCGGTAACTCTAATCATTGCATCATAAAGTTGGGTCCTCTTATTTCAGAAAGACAACTCTGTTTCTTTGGCTTATAAACCCTTTAAAACTACCAGACGACAAGACTGTTCCATGTCCAAAGTCGCTAGACCCAAAAAACGTTGCTTTCACCGTTCTCTTCGATGATAATTTGATGCCCAGTTGAAACCATTTATTTAAGGGCCTACAGGTTCTCTTCACCATTAATCAAACAACTTAGCAGGAAGGAGTAACGTGCATCTAAACGTAAACTGCCCGATCGGGGCAAATCACTTTTTTCAGCCATAACAACCGGGATTAGACGATCGAATGGCTTGTAAATTGGGGCCATTTCATCCACCTACAACCGTCGTGACCTGTGGCAGATTTTGAAACAACTGTATGATAATGGCTCTAGTAAACATCAAGGAGCCGTAGATGTCGACAAACACAACTCCGAATCCCGATCTGCCCCTCAAAATTTTGCTCTCTGCCTTCATTTCTCTCGTTATCACCCTCCGCAGCTGGTCCAACATTTACATTCAGACACTTCCAGATCTACCAGGAACTCAAGAGGCTGACTGTGAGGAAGGTCGGAGGACCTGATGCTCTATCATCATTTGTTTTAAAGGAGTAGGCCGATTCCCTCACCTTACTTGGAACACATTGGTTCAATTGTTGCCTACACAATGGCACAATTCCTGACATTTGGAGACCCGTCAGGGTAACGTCAGTCCCAAAAAAGTAGCTCAAAGATTCCGTCTCATTGTTTTTACCCCTGTCATGCTGAAAATCTTAGAACGACTGCTTATTCCTTTGATTTCTATAAGCACCCCAGCTACTGATCCCTCTCAGTTTGCTTATAGATCCAAATCTACTGCCGAAACGTGCTTGGCGGAGGCTGGTAATATATAACCCCGGTTGTTGATGAGTATTGGATGATGAATGTTAGTTAATACCGTTGAAAATTGCGAGCGCACAAAAGAAGCTTTGGCTTCCGCATGAGCTCCTACAACGTAGTTGTCAATTTTTAGTTGGTATCTACGGAACATTTTGTAGGTGTCACATATTGCCACGTTCAGCACTTGTGCTGAGGAGTTCTTGATGGCGATTATATCCGGCTTGATGTATGTTGATGCCGGTGAAATGCGGGATTCCGGGATGATTTGCGCATCTTTAGGACGAAGTGTGTTAGTTAGTTGCTTTACGATATCGTCGTGACTTTTACAACGAGCATCTAGGGTTACTGCACAGTACTGCAAGCCATGGAAAAGTGTTTCCGCAAACGTCCCGGCATTGAAGATCTATTGGGTTTGGAGGTGGCCATTCTCTGGAGCATCGAGATTTTGTCGACAGTACCCCTGCTCGAAGTTGGGTTCCTCTGAAGTATATTCCGGGGAAAGTTCGTCCTGGGTTTCTTATACATTACTTGAAGTATGTTTTGTGAGTAACGTAAGTTTCGTAGTAAGTCGAAGTCACGATTAAATTCCACACTATAATCTGCCTCGACAGGAATGGAACCCCGGTCCCACGAATTTCCGGTCCGTTGCTCTACCACTGAGCTACCGAGGGCTGACGCTTGGGTACGCAATTTAATACATGACTTCTGCTTGGTGGGCGACGTATTGCCAATGAGCTCACAGTATCTGTCCTGGTGTTGCAGATTGGCTCACTTACTCGTCACTTCCTAATGGACCGAAGTATCTGTCCTTCTGATGTCCAAAGGGCGATGGTAGATTACTTTAATCGTGACTTCTACTCACTGCGTTTCTTATAGAGTTATGAGGCGCTAGTGTCTTAAATATCCCCCGAAGCAAGGATCCGTCAACCGATGGGAGCACTGAATTCTTCCCTGCTTTCTTCGTGTCACTTTCGTCAAAGACGAGTTGATTCCCAATGATTACGGGTTTCATGGCGAGGCGCTGGATGGCAGTCGCTGAAAGTTCCCCGTATCGTGCAGCCGCTAATTGGGTGGGAGAGTGAAAGCTGGCGTTCCAGACGGTCCTTTTGGAGAAATGGATACATCTTGGAAAGGTACGGAACCCCTAGGCCATAATTCTCAATGGATACGTAAAAAAGCGACACTGGTGTCCTTGACTACTCGGAGCCATTTTCGTATACTTGCCCGGACCAACGTATCCATCGAGTTGAGGGTCAGCCGGTGCAATACCGCCAAGTAGAGACAATATGTATGACCTGGTAAAAGATAGGTGCACAAGGTATCCATGCGCTGGTAGGATTTGAAGAGGGCTTGATATGTTTCTTGTATTTGTGATTTGAGTTGGTCTGCTGCGTTTGACGGATCTTTACCCTTCCAATCAAATGGAAATCCAAATAGCCGAAATTCTCCGGATGGCTGGGACAAGTGGATCTGGAGGGCGCCACAGAGGTGCTGCGCTGTGTTTCAAATAGGCAAATTTTCTTTTGCTGTCGATGGTGATATCCAATACCATCGGTTTCATGTGGTTTATTGATAATTCAAGATGCCGTATATCTTTCCTAAATCGCACTAGGCGTTTGATCAGGGGTTCTCAGTCACGAGCAAATAACACGACATTATCCGCGTAAGCGACATGCTGAGGGAAGTCCACTGTGTGTCAGACTAGGTGTGTAATGCATCCTCTTTTGCCAGGACAAAGAGCAAGGGAAAATACGAATCTCCTTGACGAACTCCACGCCATCGGTGAATCCTCAGACCATTTATAATTGAAATTCCGGAGAAGTAATATATATATATATATATATATATATATATGCAACAGACTATGAATAGGCATGGAGCCATCAAAAGCCATGGAACTCAAAGGTACAGCTATCGTTAACAAGCACAACACAACACAGATGATTCAATGGTTTCGTCAGAGGTGGAGGTACTACGCGGTTGTCCAAGCCGAAGTAGAATGTTGACTTTGGGGACACCACCAAGAGCCTTTGACCGAATGACCTGCGCGCAAGGCAGCGGAGCGAATTCAGGGAATCGCGCGTTGAATGATTGCCCAGTTCATACGCCTTTCGTTTGTTAGTTTGCCAAATAGCGGTTAACGCTCCCCACGATGTCAACCTAATATGTTGGGATACAATGCTTCGCCAGTATGAAGCAGGGGGCCGTGACTTTATTTAGGGGCGATTCACATCCGCCACGTAACAATGTTGTTAAATGGACTTATGTGGCCTTTACTAGGGAGATCGATTGCCAGACGGAAACTCACCACGTTTTAGAACATTGCAGCTGAATGATTTGCTGGAAAGGGATAATCTCGACCACCCAGCTTGCACTAGGAGAAGGTTCTTCGGCAAGCCAGCCGGAGAAGTAATAAGACTTTAGGTAATATAGAAGAAAAGAGGGATCACCGAAAGATTAGGTTGCGCGAAGCAGGAAAGCGTTGGAGATGGAATGAAAGGCTTTTGAAATGTCAAGAGACAATAAATGGAAGATATACCGTTCAAGTCTGAATATCTTTTTGCGGAGGGTAATATCGTGGGGATTCAAAGTAGACATTTTTACGAAGCAACCCGAATTAAAGGCGGTTAGGTGGGAATGCGGGAATCCAGTGAAAGAATAAAATGCAATGAAGAAGACGAGTGAAGACTGAAGTTACAGAAATTGGGAGAAAG